GACCGATTTTCTTATATTAGTTTAAATGAAATGTATACGTAGCGGCACAGCAAAAAAATAGCTGTCAGTTACACAAGCTGTAAAAGTCAAGTCCTAGTACACCCCATTATGATTAATTATTATTATCATAAAGGTTTATTACAAAACAACAACACTCTATGAACATTTAAACAGTTTTTGAGTGGTCCTGCATAGATGTGGAGTTTGTTTCCAGAGATCACGCTTAAAAATCAAAACCAAAATACGATACTTTAACATGCAAGTTAAAGGTTATTTCTACTGTACTTCTGCCAAGAGCATCACCTTTGCTTGTCTAGGGGATCTCTGAAGCGGGCTTCAGCATGCAAACGCTGAATATGTGAAGGATTTAGATGCAGGTGCCTCAAAAAGCCGCAGCAGAGCAGACCTGATCTGACCTTAAAAATCCATGAGTTATTGTCCACGGAGCCCTACTCGAATAAGCAGAGCCGCTCGCAGGACAGGAATACTGAACAGGAAAGCTGTTAGTCATTCAGAAATACACACAACTCCATATAAATGACTGAAGGCGCTTCGACAAAACACACGCACATGCAGAAACCCAAACGCTGCATGCAAAGTTCCTCGAAACTAGATGAGAAAAGCTTTATGGATATTTCAATGTCTGGGTATAAACGCATGTTTGTAAGATGCTACAACCAAAGCATTTAAGACGTAGATGTTTGTGCATCAGATAGAAGCTCATGGATGGCGAGGATTACATAGGATTGGTTCAATGCAAAATGAATGCTTTTCATTAATTACTCAATGTAAGTGTTCAAAAGAAGTGCTTGCAGTACATTTGGGTCTGTTCTTCACACATCATTTGATGTGGAATATAGTGCATGAATAATATGAGCTGACACTATTTGTACTTCTTTTCTTAGCACTTTCTCTCCTTTTGTTGAAAAAACGACCATGAGTAAATAACGACCCAATTTTCATTTTCGACTGAACTATTCCTTTTTATTAACATCTGTCTGAATTCCCATTGTAACCTACAACAGTTAAAATGTTCATTCTAGCTCTCAACTCTATAACCACATTCTTAAACATTACCTTTAAAATGTTTGGGATCAGTATGTTTTTTTTAAATAAATTAATATTTTTATTTAACAATGATGCATTAAATTGATTGCATTTTTTTCTTTATTTTTGAATACTGTTTTTTGGAACTTTCTATTCATCAAAGAATCCAGAAAAAAAATAATCACTGTCTCCACAAAAATATTGTGCAGCACAACTGCTTTCAACATTGATAATAATTAGTTTCTTGAGCAGCAGATCAGCATATTATACTGATTTCTGAAGATCATGTGACACTGAAGACTGGAGGAATGATGCTGAAAATACAGCTGCGCATCACAGAAATACATTACATTGTAAAACATATATTAAAATAGAAAATATTTTAGAATATTGTTTTTCCTGTATTTCTGATCAAATAAATGCAGCCTTAATGAGCAGAAGAGACTTCTTACAACAACAAACAAACAACACCTTACCGACCCCAAACCTTTGAAAGATAATGTACGGTCATATTACATATACTTACAGTATGTATGTAAAGTCATATTTTTTAAACATCTTTCTCCCTCAAATTAAACCTGCCTTACACCTAACTCTATTCTAAACTCTATCCATATAAATGCATGTAACCATCTATAACCAACATGAATGTATAGATATAGTGCAGCCTGCAGTGTTCATGTAAAAAAACAGAGAAAGAAGTCTTATCTAGACTAGTTACTAGACTAGTTTGCAGAAGGTTTCTTACTGAAAGTCTGACAAAATGACACTCACTCAATATTTGCTCAAAGAAAATTGCACCTTACAGCTGCTGGAGAAACATGTGTATTATCCACATGATAAACTACGACGCACAACTCTGATGGCAACATTCATCAATAATAAACCTCCCACCAGGGCTGCGAGAAAAGACGCGTTCAATTTCACAGCGCGAGTCTCTTGACATCTAACGGTGATAATTTCACCTGCCATTTCCAACCTAAAAAGTGCCAAAGCAATTAGTATTGTGCATTTAAACACGGAGAGCATCATGTACTTCAGTCTGTCTGTACACAAGATTTTTGTGTGTATTCGGATTGCATTAGTAGATATTATACAGGACTAAATTCTAGAATTCCAATTTAGCACTTAAAGCCAATTTTCCTCAAACCATCAAGTTAGCCCTTTCGTCTGACAGCTTTCTTCAGACTGATTAGACTGATTAAATGAGCTTAATCTCAGTACAGCAGCAGCAGGACTGTGCTTCAGTAACGGGAACAGCAGCACACACACAATTTAAAGGTCCCAGATTGTCAAAACTGAAATTTCCTTTCACGACAATTTTTCACGAATACTGAGGTCTAGGGGCTATTTAACTACCATGTAAGTTTCAAAACAGTCAGTCCTCAGTCAAATGCACACAGCCTGCATAAATTAGCTGTGATTTTTCACGAACCGTTGTGACTTCTGTAAAAAGTTGACGTCAGAACTACACAGTCACCGTCCCACCCTCCTTTAGCCACACCCCCAGACAACATC